GAGCTGTTGATAAGATTTCCAGTGATGGAGCTGAAACCAAGCAGAGAGCTGGTGGGCAATAAGGACTAAACTATAGTCTAAAAATGAAATTAAATGAAGGAGTAGACAGCAGGACTAGATAGTAGAGTTCATGGGAGGGAGTAATATCTAAGAAGAGTGGAAAAATAAGAAAGGCCCAGGTTGTGAAGAGTTTTAAATGCTTAAAAGCAAGATTTATATTTGATCTTAGAGGTACCAGGGAACTACTGGGGTTTATGGAACAGAGATGGGATGGGGGCTGGGTGACCTGATGAGACCTATGCTTCAGGAACATCACCTGCCATCCCTGTGGAGTGAAGAGAGACATGGGAAAAATCCGATGGCAAGGAGACCACTCAGAAGACAAGGACAAAGTCAGTGCCAGGGAAAGTCATGGAGACACACAAAAAGTAAAAACCAGCAACGTACAAGTGTGCACCAGAGCACAATTTGGGAAATCCCCAAAGCTGAAAGGGAGTTGCCATCAACTTACCAATGCAGTTAGGGAGTTCCTTCGATAAATAATTGCTCCCCAACAGTTCTTTACTAAGTTATTTATGTTTTCAATTTTATCAAACACTGGGTTATTGAGTTTCATTATTTCTGAGTCTCCCTTGTTTAGTCTGTTCCACTGATCTACTTTTCTATTTTAAAGTCAATACAAAATGGTTTTGCTGCTTTGTAATATAGTTTGAGGTCTGAAAGTGCTGTCCTTCTTCCTTCCTTCCTTCCTTTTTTCATTTCTCCTGATAGTCTAGCTCTTCTGTTCCTCCAAATAAAATTTGTTATTATTATAAAAGTAGCCCTTTTATAGTTTAATATAGCATTAAACTAGTGAATTTACTTTGATCGCAGTATCATTTTTATCATATTGGCATGGCCCAGCCATGAACAACTAAATATTCTTTTAGCTATTTAAGTTGTTCTTTATTTCATTTTTTAAATTAAGTTTTTATTGATGTCTTTTTTATGTATTTATTATGTGCTAGCCACCATGCTAAATGCTGGAGATATAAATATAAGCAAAAAGGAAGATATTCCTTGCCCTCAAGGAATTTACACTGAAATGGGGGAAGATACCACATAAAAGGGAGCAGAGTCATAAGTAGAGCTGGAAGAGGAATGAAGGATGGTTGCGTGAGGCTCAAAAATGAAAGAAGTACTACAGGGATAGAAAGATGTTCCAGGGTACGAATGCCCTAAGAGTCAACAGAACTTCAGCTGATCAGACATGGTAGCAAAGCCAAGAGAGTCAGAAGCAGAGCCAAGACAGCAATAAAGGCTATCTAGCCTGGGCCCTTCCTCAAATGGAGGTTCTTAGAAGAACTCACCAGGAAGAGAAAGAAGCAGAAGGGCTGAAGAAGCTTCCAGGAACTTCTCTCTTCCAGAAGAGAAGCAGGTCATATATTTTTCTTTTCTTTTTTCTCCTTTTTGCTGGGCAGTCAGGGTTAAGTGACTTGCCCAGGGTCACACAGCTAGTAAGTGTTGTGTGTCTGAGACCAGTTTTGAACTCAGGTCCTCCTGACTTCAAGGCCAGAGCTCTATCCTCTGCACCACCTAGCTGCCCCAGGTCATATATTTTTCACAGCTATGTGTGGGAGATTGTATTCTTAACCAAACAAGGGTTAGAAGCAAATACAAAAGGTAAAACAGACAACTTTGACTACCTGAAACTAAAAAGCTTCTGCATGAACAAAATTATGCATTTAGGATTAAGCAGGGAAGAGGTAAAGTGGAAAAAAAATGTGTTATCAAATTTCTCAGATAAAAATTTAGTACCCAAGACATATAAACAATTAACAGGTAATATGTAAAACCAAAAATCATTTCCCAAACAGCTCTCAAAAGAAGAAAGGCAAATTTTTAACAGTTATGAGAAAGAACAGTCCATACCATCCTAAGAGAAACACATCCTAGGTCAATATCCCAAAAGAGATAAAAAGCAAAAAGCAAAAGGACCCACATGCGCAAAAATATTTGTAGCAACTTTCTTCTGGGAGTAAAGGATTAGGAGTCAAGGAGACACCCATCAATTGGGGAATGACTGAACAAGTTGTGGTACATGATTGTGATGGAATACTACTGTGCTATAAGACATGATGAGTCAGATGCTCTCAGAAAAACCTGGAAAGACTCGCATGGGCTGATGCAAAGCAAAATGTACTGTGTACAAAGTAGCAGCAACATTGTCCAGCAATACAACAATCCAAGACAATTCTTAAGGACGTGTAATGAAAAATACTATCCATCCCCAGAGGAAGAACTGGTGGAGTGTGAACAGATTAAAGATTCTTGAGGTTTTTTTTGTCTATGCTTTCTTTCACAACATGACTATTATGGAAGTGTTTTGCATGACTACACTTGTATAACCTATATCAAATTGCTTGCTTTCTCAATGAGGGGGGGTTGGGAAGGAAGAAGGTGAGAATTTGGAACTCAAGATTTTAAAAACGAATGTTAAAAAGTGTTTATACTTTGGAGAGCAATTTGGAACTATGCCCAAAGGGCAATAAAAATGTGCATACCTTTTGACCCAGCAATACCACTTCTAGGGCTGTATCCCAAAGAGATCATAAAAATGGGAAAAGGACCCATGTATACAAAAATACTCGTAGCAGCTCTTTTTGTGGTGGCAAAGAATTGGAAATTGAGGGGATACCCATCAACTGGGGAATGGCTGAACAAGTTGTGGTATATAATGTAATGGTATACTATCCTGCTGTAAGAAATGATGAGGAAGTGGAATTCAGAAAAATCTGGAAAGATATGTATGGACTGATGCTGAGTGAAGTGAGCAGAAACAGGAGAACATTGTATAAAGTAACAGCCACACTGTGCAATGACTAACTTTGATAGACTTAGCTCTTCTCAGAAATGCAAGGATCTAAGACCCAATGATTTCCCATGATGGAAAATGCTATCCACATCCAGAGAAAGAACTATGGAATTTGAATACAGATTGAAGCATACTATTTGCTCTTTTTTTTTCTTGTTTCATTTCTTCTTTCTTGTGGTTCCTCCTATTGGTTCTAATTCTTCTTTACAACATGACTAATGTGAAAACATATCTAATAGGAATGTGTGTGTAGATCCTATCTCAGATTGCACACCATCTTGGGGGAGGAGGAGATTTAAAACTCAAAAACTTACAGAAGTGATTGTTGAAAACTAAAAATAAATTAATTTTTAAAAAAGAACAGGGCAGGTTCTTTACAAATACTGGAGTGCATTGGATAAATTATTCATTTGGGTACACAAACAAATTACTTTTATTTTTCTACATATGCAGACAGCATTTATTTATATTATTTCCAAGTTGCCTGATTGAGAAGAATACATTGTTCATCCTCTTAAAAAAAAAGCTTATGGAAGTGATTGCTGAAAATTAAAACTAAATTAATTAATTAAAAATTGTTTTTGTATGTAACTGGGGAAAAATAAAATCTAAATAAAAAAATAAGATAAATGCAAATCAAAACAACCCTGAGGTTTGACCTCACATTCAGCAAATCTGTAAAAACAAAAGGTAGGAATAATCAATGTTGGAAGCGTTGTAGGAAGTCAAGCATACTAATGCATCCTTGGTGGAGCTGTGAATTGGTAAGACCATTTTAGAAAACAATTTGTTAATTATACAAATAAAGTGACTAAAATTGTCATAGCCTTTGACCCAGAGGTTCCATTATTAGGCTTATACCTCAAGAAGGACATTGTTAAGAAGAAAGTTCCCTATATAGAAAAAGAAGACACGTTGTCCCACTCCTTTGGGTCAGAGGAAGAGGGAGGATGAAGGAAGAAGGTCCAGAGGTGTGGAATACTGCATATACTCTCAAGTTTTTTCAGACTATTTTTGCCAATTTCTTTTTCCTTCCTCCTTGTTATAAGGAATGGCTCTCTGGGAGGGGAAAGAATATAATGAAAAATTTTAGGTAATGTAACAAGAAAAATTATTTTTAAAAGATTATGACAGAACAAAGCGAATTCAGAGTTCTTAAACATATTAGTGGAGCACTTGTAACTGGATGTCCTGTAGCCTTCTTAAATTCAGTATGTCCAAAACAGATCTTGTTTTTCACCCCAAATCCTCTTCCCTTCTGAAATTCCCTGTTACTACAGAGGGTACCAACATCCCCCCAGGACCCAGGTTCCAAGGTATCATACTTGATTCCCCCCTCTCATTCTCCCCACATATCCAATCCGTTGCAAAGTCCTTCTACCTCTACCACATCTCTTGTATACAACTAATTCTCTCTGCTCCCACAGCCACCAGTGTAGTCCAAGCCCTCATCACCTCTTACCTGGCCCACTGCAATAGAATTCCAACTGGTCTTCCTGCCTCAAGTCTCTCCCAATTCCAATCTATTCACCACTCTGCTGCCAAGGTGTAGGTCTGGGCACGTCACTGCTCTGCTCGGTGAGCTGCACTTCCTTCCTATTTGCTCCAGACTCAAATACAATGTTCTCTGTTTGCCATTTAAAGTGCCTCTCAACCAGGTCCCTTCCCGTATTTCCAGTCTTCCTACTACGCATTCTCATCCACACATTCTATATTCTAACTACATGGAGTTATCTAACTGCAGTTCCTCCAACCCAACATTTCCTCCCATTTCTATGCCTCAGCAAATTTTTGTTTAATCGTTTTCCAGTCTTGTCTGATTCTTCATGATCCCTTTTGGGGTTTTGTTTGCAAGGACAGTGGAGTGGTTTGCCATTTCTTTCTCCAGCTCATTTTACAGATGAGGAAACTAAGGCAAATAGGGTTAAGAGACTTGCCCAGGATCACACAGCTAGTAAGTGTCTGAGGCCACATTTGAACTCAGGAAAATGAATCTTTCTGACTCCAGGTGCAGTGCTCTATGCACTATGGCACCCTCCTCCCCCAGCTGCCATGCCTCGGCACCGGCTGCCCCAAATGCCTGGAATGCTGTGCCCCTCTCCACTCTGTCTCTTAGCTTTCTTGGCTTTCAGTGTTTTATACTTACCCTATTAAACACAGGTAACATCATATAAAGTTTTTCTTCTTGTTCTTTCTGAGTCATATGCCGAGGAGGATGGCAGAGTTCAGTAAAGAGGCGCCGAAGGTGCATCAGTCCTAAAGCATTGTCCTGTGGGCTGCACTCTTCCTGGCGAGGCCGGCCCATAATCCTCTTCACCATATTCATCTTGGCCAGTTTATAAGAATCACCAGAATCCTGAAAGGACAAGTCAAATAAAATTAATTTGAAACAAAACCCCTCAAAAAACAAATTAGCTGCAATATACCACAGCCATAGTCAAAACGTAAAAAAAAAAAAAGATTTTCTGCTAATTTTACACAATTTGTTCCATCTAAGTATAGTTGATGACTGCTGTTTTTTATAGTTCAAATGACCTTTAAACTAGCTCAATCAACAAGTTTTTATGAAGAATTGATTAACATTCTAAGAGTTCAAGTTTCTTTTCCATCAGCAAACAAAACAGAAAAAGCAAAAGCTACTTATAAGAAAAATTGCACAAAATCAATATTATGACAGATTATAAACTAAACCTCTAGGAAAACTATGCTACTCAAAACTACTACTAAGTCTCTATTGACTATGTCAAAAATGAGTCCAGATACAAATTAATAAGAACAATTTTTTAAAAAAGATCGCTAAATGGTTTACAGATATCATGTTAATTAAAAACCTATGTGAAGCATAAACCTGTGGATAACATTTTTTACTGCTAGCATATCTTTCAATTTCTAAGAATAAATGTCTAGAAGGAAAAAATCCTGACATTTATTCAAATCAAGAAAGCTTACAATTGAGTCTATTAATAAGAACTTGCCTTAGAACTTAGTTTACTTTTAAAAGGCATGTTCAAATAGTAATATCCCATTAGGAAGCATTTTTTCAGAATCACAGAGTTGGGACAGATTCCAAGAGAAATCTCCACTACAATATACCTGAGAAGCGGCCAGCCAAGCCTCTTGTGAGTGAAGACTATAACAAAGGGGGGCCCCAGACTCCCCTTCCCTGCTGGTCATTCTCTTCTCAGGTTCCTCCTCTGGCTCCTGGTTCTCCCTTGGAGAACTCTCAGACTCTCTACTGCACCTCAGATGAGTCAAGGGCAATGAGTCTGTTAACCTTTCAAGGCCTTATCAATAAAATGAGAGGATTAGATTAGGTGACCTACAAGGTCCTTCCTGCTCCAAATATATGGTCCATGACCCTTACACCACAGGAACACTCTTTTCTTTTCTCCTCAAGCTTCCTACACTACCCCCTTCCCATTTCCTTTCAACAGAGGGTCTTCCTTGTCTCCTATTTTATCAAGAAAATAGAGGGGCAAACTATGATACATCATTTCTTCTCTCCTATTTTATAATTCAAAACTTTTACTGGCACCTCCCACTGTCTTCTCCTTTGCTCCAGTCTCTGATGAAGAGACAGCCTTTCTCTTTCCCAAGGCTCACCCTTCAGAATGGCCCCTTTGCTCCTACAGCCATGCCTAGGTCTGACTCGCATCCTTACACAGTCTTTGCCTTCCATCCCCTCAAGCCTATCACAGCCAAACTCCACCAATATCCTCTTGCCTGTTTTTGCTCTCTCTGGCGGAGAAGGAGCAGCCATCACCACCAACTGCCATCCACAGGGTAGGGTGAGATAGCCTGGTAGAAGTAGCAAGGTCTCTTGCAGGAGACAGGAGGCAGCGTGTGCCACTCCATCTGAGTCACTACCACCCCAATCTTGACCATCATCTCCCTTGAGACTGTGATGGAGATAGCTCAGGAGCCTGAACCCAAGAGCCTTGGGAACAGTAATGCTTCCAGCCCAGTGCCCTCGGCCATCATCCTGAGGACCCACCCCCAAGATGCAGCCTGGCCACCATTCCTGCAGGTGCTACAGCCACGGCTACAATGACCCAGAAAATGAAATTCTTGCCACCAAAGGCCTAGGCAATATCAAATAGCCCAACATCAGAAACTAAAGTTTTTCTCAGTAGTAATGACATTAAAGATGAGGCACCTACATCTGCTTAGCTGTGCCACCAAAGGACAAAGGCACACTTCCGTCTGATGTGCAACTAAAACATTCTCCCTTATTAGAGTGAGAGCTCAGAGAGAACTGAAACTGTCTTACTTTTCTATTCACTTCCCTAGCTTTTATCTCAGTGTTTTGCACAAAGTAAGTGATTAATAAATGCTTTATTTATTCATTTGTATATACAGTTGGAAATCATCTGCTGATAACTGAATCCATGGGAGCTAATGAGATCGCCAAGCACAACAGCACAAGTGTGAGGAGAAAAAGAGAGGGCCCAGTGCAGAGATCTGGGAAATCCAAGGCCAGCAGGCATGATGCGGACAGAGAACCATCAAATGACAGTGAGAAGGAGAGCTTAGGTAGACAGGATGAGAACAACACTGCACCAAAACCAGAGAAGAGGGTGATCAACAGTGCGGCCAAACACTGTGGATATCGAGGACCAAGAAAAGGGCAATAGACTTGACAAGTAGTAAATCACTGATAATTTGGAGGGAACAGTTTTAATTAAATGATGAAGTCAGAAGCCAGAATGCAGAGGGTCTGATGAAAGTGAGGGGGAGAGGAAAGGGGGCCACCAAATGCACAGTTTTCTCAAGAACTATAGCCACTGAAATAGAAAAGAGATGATGGTGAAAGCTAAAAGGGATCACCATTGAAGTGAGAGTTTGTTGGTTTTTTTTTTTTAAGGTAGGGAAGACATGAGCCTGTTTGTAGGCACAAAGAAGGAGCTGTTTGGCTAAGAGGAGACTGAACAGAAGAGAAAGGAGGGATGGCAGTAGGGGAAATCTGCTGGAGAGATTAAGAAGGGATAAAATCAAGAGTACATGTAGAATTATCAGCTTTGTCCAGAACGAAAAATGAGACAGTAAGGAAAGTGGTCTGAATGATTTGATATGAGGAAGAAGAAGAAAGACAAGGGAGTCCTCAGTCAATAGTCTCAACTTTTTGGGTGAAATATGGGAAATCAAATATTCATGATACTTGGCTGAGAAGGTGGGGTAGGATACTATGAGAGACTTGAGGGGAGATAAGAAGGTCTAGAAGAATCACTGAGCAGAGTAGGATAACAAACTGATTAAGAAGGAAAGGAATGTCTGCCCAGCAGCAGGGTAAGGGCCCAGTTGAGATTAGATAACATAAATCTGCAGTGGACTCAATGAGCATGATTTTGTCATTTCCTCCAGCTCCATTCAGTACCAAGTGAATGGGAGAGGAGGCAGACAGTAAAAGTAATCCAGGGGTGGGGTTTAACATGTGTTTGGTAATAGGTCAAGGTGGCAAGGAACTGGAGAGTAGAGGACATTGTCCAGATGAGTAGGTTCACCAAAGGATCAAGAAGGGAAAGAGAAGAGGTCCTGAGAGAACAGAGGGATGGAAGGAATGAACTTCAGGGTGAAGACAAAGAACAGGGTGAATAGTCATAAAGCAAAGGAAGAGAAAATAATAAAAGATGATGCATAAAGGAATTTCAGGATTTGAAAACAAAAAAGCTGGCAAGATCAGGAATGTGACCATCTCAGTGGCTAAGATGTAGTGAAGGAGTTTAACTACTTATCTATCTATCTAACAAGGGCTATATCCAACCACCTTATCTATATCTTGCCACTGGACCCAGATGGCTCAGGAGGAGAAAGACTTTGCACAGCCCTGCCTCATTTAAATGCAACTCACTTGCAAGTCATGACATCACCTTCCCAATGTCACAATCCTCTTCAAGAGCGAAGGACAAACAACAATCCATGAGCGGCAGTTGTTGGGGACCCAACTGGGCCATTCCAGTAGGGCAACACACTTTCCTCCCTCCCTCCCTCCTTCCTTTCTTACCTCCTCTCCCTCATTCCCTTCTCTCCCTCTGTTCATACAGGGAACAGAGGAATACAAAGGAATTTTGATTACTGACACCTAGCAAGATATCTTGGGGTTGACAGGCTAGATTTCTTTTTTAAGGACCATGCCCTGAACCCAATCACTCAAGTTCTCATCAACTGGCCAACAATAGGTCCCAGCCCAAGCCTCATTTGGTCATTGGTTGGGGAGAGTGCAAATAGAAATTGTTTCTGTTTTGGCCAGAAACCTTTCCCTCCAAGATAGTTTTTTCTTTTGTTTGTTTGTTTTTGACTAGCTAAAAGAGATCTTTCTTTGCCTCATTTCTTATCTAGCCTTATTCACTGAATGGGCATCGCCTCAGACAAACAGAACCAGGAAAGACCTTAGTTTAAAAAGGCCAGTCTCCCACTGCCTCCAGGGCCATCTCCAGTCTCCTGGTCTATATTTTGCCACTGGACCCAGATGGCTCTGGAGGACAAGAGTGAGGCTGATGAGTTTGCACAGCCCTGCCTCACTTAAATCCAATTCATTTGCAAGTCATGACATCACCTCCTCCTGTCACGGTCCTCCTTGAGAACAAAGGACAAACAACAACATCTATCTAACAATAAAATGTTAATATGGTACTTTGAATAATTTATTTAGATGATCAACCAAGTACTTAGCAGCATTAGGCTGTATTACAAATCTTTAAAAGGTAGAAATCCTTTAAATTAAATAAGAAAAAAGTTAAAACAAAAAATGCTTTGAATCAAGATTATAAGTTAAATAATGGTAAATAATTAAAGCCTTTTTTACTGCTCATCTAGAAAATCAGAAATAACTAAAGCACAAAAATTATATAAAATATTATACTAAATAGTTAATAAATACCTGAAAACTTTTTCTCTCTTTTCTGCCTTGAATTACATAGAAAAAGAAAAAAGAAAACACCATATGCCCCAGAAAATCATAGAATTGTTATTGCAAAACTTGAAACAGAATCTCAGCATTTTAATTTTTATTTAAAAAGTCTGAAATACCATATAAGGTAGCATGGATGGCAGGGTGGATTAGGGAACAAGGTTGTTCAACCACTACATTTGCCCTTTTCACCATACTAAATTCATTACTTCAATTTCCACTTTACATCAGCTGCCCTACCAGATTTCAATTCCAGGGAACGAGATGCTCCTCCTAGGAAAAGCTATTCACTTCTAAACTCATCTTCACACTGCTAACACAAACCTTGATTGACATCACTTCCTTCAGCTCTCTGTCCCCTCTGACTAAAGGGCTGGAGGGTGGCATATCAAACTCCTCCCAAAGCCTTCCTTTAGAGAAGAGAGAAAATGGACTCGACTCACT